CCAATAAGATGCAAGATTTTGCGTACGAACGCCATTTAATTTGCCATATACTACGTGAAATTTTCAATATCACTCCGTTCCTGGTATATCAATATCACATGTTCGTATTAACGGCCGGCCTGCGTTATGAGACGGGAACCACCGGCCAGCACTAAGCCGCTGTCATGCTCAAATTTTAATTTTAGTTAGTGTCATATTATTCTATTAAATCTCCATACCGGTACGAATTAAAAATATATAAGGATGTAGTTTCAGTTTATGAAGGGAAAAACGATTTATGACAGTATTTAGTATTATTATGATAATCTGATGTATTAATTTATGTTAATAAAGAGAAGCTTTATTTACTGATTTAAATCCTTTAACCTTAATCACTATTTGTTCACGACCAAAGCTAAATTGGTCCAAGACCTTATAAAGCTCTCCCACCGGTCGTAACACCGCACAAACTCAACTGCTTACGGTAATCTTCCGGCGCAATATTTCGGGAGCATAAACCGTTTCGGCCTTAATAACGCATAATTAGCAAATAATGTAATCCGCATTCATCAAATAAAATCCAACTCCGGTATATCAGACCGGATCATTTCAATATGAGAAACATGCATGCTATACTTTTCGTTCAACATTATTTGTCACGGATGATCATGAAATCGGATGATGGTGAAATATGGACCTAATTTAATATGAAATTTAGAATTTTTTAGGGTGTATTATCCTAACTTTTTTTAATGAAAGGTTAGAATTTAGAGTTAGAGTTGCTTAGAAAAGAGTATAAGTAAATTTCAGTAGGATTTATATTTTTAAAAGGAGACCCCAAATTTCACCATCATTCGATTTCACGATCACCCGCGACATTATTTACGAATACATACCTCATTCTCACACGAATAAAATAATCGGCAAAAATGTACCGGACACTCGTGACATACAATACTTTTATCTTCATATATACATACAAATAAAAACATATGTATAATGTTCCTGATTCTAGCGCGACTGCGTCGCGAAGCTACTCTAATGTTACAATTTTTTTTTAGTAGATCACTATAAAAAAGGGGGGGCCATGTACAAGGACTTTTGACAAACCGGTATAATATAATTGTCGTGTAAACTCTTATGATCATAGATTTTTTTCTTTTTATTTTTTGTACGTTATCACATAAGGACAACAATCTCGAATTAAAACTCAGTTAGCCAATAATGACTTGTAAATCATCATTATTGCGATGATATTTATCGTTGCATGACCAATATCTTATAATAAGTAAATATCGATCGTTATATGATTAATAAGTAGCTAAATAAATGCCGATCTGGTTATTTGATCAAAAATCATATTCAACACATAAATCAATCAATTTACTATCTGTAACATTTTTACTTATTAACGCTTTTGAAATTTGTTGTGTGCTAATGGCTTTACTTGTATACATTTGGTATGAATGATTTGATGGATTAGGTAATTCACTAACTATTTTATCAGCTTCCAAAAATTGGTTTGTTATTTCATCTACATCATCTAAACCTTTTATTTTATCAAGCCGATAATTGATTTGTTTTTTAATTTCGTCTACGTAATCTAAACCTTTTATTTTATCAAGTAGATAATTAATTTGGTTTTTGATTTTGTTTGCATTATCCGAATCTTGCATCTTATCAATGAGTTTTTTAATTTCATCTACATCATCTAAACGTTTTATTTTATCAAGCCAATAGTGAATTTGTTTTTTAATTTCGTCTACGTCATCTAAAATATTTATTTTATCTATCCAAGAATAAATTTTGTTTACGTCATTTGAGCCTACTATTTTATTAAACCAATAAATAATTTCATGTCTTTTAATTTCGTCTATGCTATCTGAATATTTTATTTTATCAATTAGGTTTTTAATTTCGTCTGCATTTTGTATTTTATTATACCAATATTCAATTGCATGTTTTTTAATTTCGCCCACGTTATCTGAGTCGTTAATTTTGTTATGCCAATGTTGGTTAATTTTGTCTTCATCTAAATCTTTTACTTTATTATTCCAATGTTTGTTAATATGTTTGTTAATTTCGTCTACATCATCAGAATCTTTTATTTTATCAAGTAAATCTTTAACTTCATGTTTTTTAATTTCATCTACATCACCCAGATAACTAATTTCGTGTTTTTTAATTTCTTCTATGTTATCTGAAGCTTTTATTTTGTCAATTAGTTTTCTAATTTCATCTAACAAAGCTTCCATTTTAGTATGCCAATAACTAATTGCCTGTTTTTTAATTTCGTCTACATTATCTGAACCTTTTATTTTATTGTACCAATGCTTATTCATTTCGTCAACATCGTTAAGCAAATCAATAATTTCATGTTCTTCAATTTCGAATACGTCATCTGAATCTTTTACTTTATTAAGCCGATGTTCAATTTTTTGTTTTATAATTCCGTTTACGCAATCTAAATATTTTATTTCATCAACTAGTTTTTTAATTTCATCTACATTATCCAGACCTTTTATTTCATCAAGCCAATAACTGATTTGTTTTTTAATTTCGTCTACGTAATTTAAAACTTTTATTTTATCATTCCAATAGTGAATCTGTTTTTTCATTTCATCTACGTCATCTGAGCTTTTTGTTTCATTAAGTTGATAACTGATTTGATTTTTAATTTCGTTTACGTCATCCAAACCCTTTATTTTACTAAGCCAATACCTAATTTCATATTTCTTAATTTCGTCTACAACACCCGAACCTTTTATTTTATCAAGACAATAACTAATTTCATGTTTTTTAATTTCGTCTACGTCATCTGAACCTATTTTATCAAGCCAATATTTAATTTTATGTTTTATAATTTCATTCTTGTAATTGGAACTTTTTATTTTATCAAACCAATCATTAATTTCATTATAAATATTGTAAGCAGTGGGTCGTATTTGTGAATTTGAGTTTGTACATTGCTTTGCCAATTTAATATAACAATTTGGAGTGCTAGGTACGAATTCTGGACGTAATCCACAACAAATTTCTATCGCAAGATCAGTATCAAATTTATATCCATCAAAAGGTCTTCGCCCAGTCGACATTTCTGACATAATAATACCGAAGCTGTAAATATCCGTTTTTTGTGTAAATTGTTTCTTGCCTGATAAAACTTCTGGAGCAACATAGGGCATTACTCCATAAATTTTGCTGTTTGAAACATTTTCATTCTCTTTTTTGGATAGTCCTAGATCTGCTATATAGGTTCTCATACTACTATCTAATAAAATATTTCCACTGTGAAGGTCTCCATGAATATATCCTGCGTTATGAATGATGCGTAATTCTTCTGAAATATCGACAAGTAGGTTTAATTTAGTCTGCCATGTAAGTTTCTTAAATTCTGATCTTAAAAATTTATGAAGACTTCCACTATCGGCATATTGAGCTACCATCATATATTCTTTAGTTTTTGTGTTTTGAGTTAGGCCATAAACCTTAAGTTTGATCCCCATTAAACCACATCTTATATGATTGTTGAACTTGTAAATTTATATGAATGAATTAATAATTATTGTCATGTTTTAAAGCTTATTTAATGTTGACGCTGAAATTTGAATTTAGTATAAATTAAACATTTTGGACCTTTTGTCCAGTTTTTTTTTAGATTAGGTCAAATTTTAAAAATTACATTTTAATAGGAAAGTCTAATGGACTTTGACATATTATATGTTCAAATAGATGTAATAGAGACCCCAAATTTCAGCATTAACTAATTTCAGCAACAATTATAGATTCAACTTACTTCATTTAGGCTGAGATGGCTTTCTTCAAAGCGAGGCAATGTTTTAAGTGCAACTTTACTGGATGGTTCACGTGTCCTCACATATTGCCCATTAACATTGTCAATTTTTCGAACGCCATCTAACCAGGTTGCGAAATATACAGAGCCAAATCCCCCTTCGCCAATTTTTTGAATATTGTCTAATTTATTAAATGGAATCCATTCAATTATTTTTGTATATGCTAAGGCCTTAAGTTGAAATTCTTTAATGCAATTATCAATATTCCCATTTCCACTTGTCCATCCTTGAGTTTCTATATTTGGATCGCATGCTTGGCACCATGCTTCGTTTGTGTTATTTTGATTACAACGCCCGCATTCTCCATAACCTAAACAGAAATAATGTAGCATTTCTTAGTATTAAATATTATTGT